CAACTTGTCACAACCCGTTTTCGAACTCGATTTCGAGACCGTGCAATTTATATGTCATGGCGTGACGTAACGCGCGCAACCCATTAACAAATAAACAAATAAATAAATAAATAAATAAATAAATAAATAAATAAATAAATAAATAAATAAATAAATAGATAAATAGATAAAAGTGCAGGGAAAGGAAATAAAAATAAAAAAAGAATAAGAAAGAAAGAAAGAAAGAAAGAAAGAAAGAAAAAAAGGAAAAGAAGAAAGAGAAAGAGAAAAGAAAGATCCGACGAATTTAATGATTCACGTTCGCATTTCACGTTGGACGATCGATCGAGATCGATCTCGATCGATCGATTGATCGATTATTGTACCTTCGTACAATCGAGAAATTCGATTATTTTCTCATTTTCTTATTGCGTATAAATGTGTTAAATGCGTGAAATAAGTGTCTCACGATGGCGGGTAAAATGCGACCATATGCGAGCTGACGAGTGTGTAAGTATTTGTGTATATACGTGTGTGTATGTGCAAACAGTGCGCGTATGCGTATGTGTTTGTGGCTATGCGTGAAAACATGCTTTGGTGCACCTAAAAACCGTGCAAACTCGAGCGAGCCTCTGTATTTTCGTTCGTTCTATTATTATCAATCAGGAGTTCGATGGCCACGTTTTAAACCGTCTATATAGTTAACTTTATGTCTCATAGCCGTTGGTGAACGCACGTAGTACACGTGGCGAGTATGAACCCTTTCAACCAATAGCTAGCTAGCGAGCAATCGAGGAGAGTTACTACTACTTCTTACATGCACAAGATCCGCCGACATATATATATGTATATATAATATAATATATATATATATATATATATATATATATATATATATATATATATATATATATAGAGGTAATAAAACAACAAATCGTGAATAGATCGAAAGCAAAGCTATTGTTTGCCGACTTACCATTAAAGTTCCCGCGTAGCGGCGCCTCGCGTAGCATTAAACGTTTCGCATGGATGACGCGGATTGAAAAATCTCTTTCTTTTTCTTTTCTCACCGAAAATTCTCTTTCTTTCTCTCTCTCTCTTTCTCTCTCTTCCTTTCTCTTTCTCTCGGTGTTACAGACGGAACACGGTTTCCACCGTGTTCGATCACGATGGAACTGTTTTAATGAAAATTCTTTAAATTCTCGACAAATTGCAAAGAGAAAGATAGATACTACATAATATATATATATATATATATATATATATATATATATATATATATTTAGAGATTTAGAGAGAGAGATACAATGAGAAAGAAAGAGAGAGAGAGAGAGAGAGAGAAAGAGATAGATAGAGGCAATAGGAGGGAGGTATGGTGGAAAGAGAGAAGAGAGGGGAAAAAAGAAAAGAAAATAAAGAGAGAGAAAAAGAGAGAGAGAGAGAGAGAGAGAGAGAGAGAGAGAGAAAGAGAGAAAGAGATAGATAGAGAGAGAAAGGAAAGAGAGCGCAAGCGCGCGCGAACGCGCTCGTTTTTTGTTTCCACGTAAGACAAATCAAAGAAGAGAGACAGACAGACAGACAGATAGACAGACAGACAGACAGACAGACAGACAGAGGACAGACGCGCGAAAGAACGATAGGACCGTCCGTGTCTTTCTCGCATCGAACGAGAAGTGGTCATGTAGACGGTACAAGCTCGACTCTGCTGCCCTCCACCCCCACCCTCGCGCTCGCGCTCACCCTCTTGTCGTGATTGCTCGGGCCCATTCGCCCCAACTCGCTCGGCCGATTACTGACAACGACGACGACGACGACAACGACGACAACGACGACAACGACGACGACACGATTGTGACTAAAACTATGGACTATGATTATGATTATGACTATAACGAGTAATATCTCGAGAAGTATTGAAAGAAAAAAAAAAAATTCTCATTTAGATTGCTAACAGATAGCAAGATCTCGATTCACATCGGATTTCCTTCTTTTTATTTTTTTTCTTTTCTCCCCTCTTCTTCTTCTTCTTCTTCTTCTTTTTCTTCTTTTCTAAACACGAATATAAGGGTCACACTAAAGAGAGAGAGAGAGAGAGGGAGAGTGAGAAAGAGAGAAAAACAATTCTTGTTTTTAAGATAGGTCGTACAACGGAATATAACACGCCTATCTTGATTACGCACGAACGCGCCAAAAAAAAAAGAGGGGAAAAAAAAAAGAAACGCACATAGAAGAAGAAAAGAAAAATACAACAAAACTGGTATTCTTGGCTTCGTAAACGATACGTTTTTGTTATGCTTTTTTTTCTTCTTCTTCCTCCTCCTCCATCACTTCCTTATCCACCTACTCATTTCTTGTCGTCGGTATACTAATTATTATCAGCTCAATCGAATCTCCTGTGTTTTCAATTTTATTATTATGACTTTATTATCTCATTTTATTTCATCTCGTCTATTTCTTTTTTCTTTTTTTTTTTTCAAATCTAATTTCTCCTCTCATCTCATCTGTTTCTTTTTTTTTTTAATTTTTCTTTATTTTTTTTTTTTTTTCTTTTTTCACTTAATTTTCCTTCCATTCAATATCAAGCTCTCCCACAAATGATCCCTCCGACATTTTAATTCTCATTAATTTCAAACGATCTGTCAAGATTTTATTATATCCATTATTTATAACAATGCTATCGTCTATTAAACACGATCTTATTTTCTCTCTCTCTCTTTCTCTCTTTCTTTCTCTTTTTATAGATTTCCTTTCGACTCTCATCCTTAGCACATTTATATTTAATCGAATTCATTTTCCAATTCGATTTACCTTCCTAATCGAATTAATATATTCGAATATAAACGTTCGATAATAACCGTCTGATTGATTCTGTTTTCTTTCTTTTACTTTTTCTTTTTTCTTTCTTTCTTTTTTTTTTTTTTTTTTGTTTCGTTTAATTGCAACGGACGACTTTCTATATACTCCATACTCTTTTCCAATGTCCGAAGGTCACCAGTTGGCCTTCCCTTCAAGGCAAGAACGAGCGTTCACCATTCTAGCTCTCTGTCTCTAGTTATACTACTTTTCTCTCTCTCTCTCTTTCTCTTGATTTGTCTCTATCTCTTTCTCTCTCTCTCTCTCTCTCTCTCTCTTTCTCTTGATTTGTCTCTATCTTTCTCTCTCTCTCTCTCTCTCTCTCTCTCTCTCTCTCTCTCTCTATCTGTCTCTATCTCTCTCTCTTTCCCAGTTTCACTCTCACTCTCACTCTCTTCGACACTCTCCCATTGAGTAATAATACATTTACAAAGTCGCGCGATATCGCGGGGGAGCGAGCACACGAGGGGAGTTGGAAATCGTGCGGTAGACAAAAAAAAGAAAAAAAGAAAAAAAGAAAAAACAATAAAACGATGGACAAGCCTCGAGCTTCAATAATAAAAATTTCATAATTTTCTTTTCTCCTCAAAACTCGATAAACGTCACCTAATTATACACACTTCTTCTTTTGCTTGTTTTTCTACTTTTACTTCTTCTTTCCTTAATATTTCGTCCGCTTTGTACCATATCGTGTGTGTGTGTGTGTATGTGTGTGTGTGTGTGTGTAAGTGTATTATTATTAATTTGTTTTTTTTTTTGACATTACAATGCACTAGGTACGCGCATGCGCGTTTCTCGTGTGTATGTGTGTGTATATATGTTCGTTCGTTCTCTCTCTCTCTCTCTTTCTCTCTCTTTCTCTCTCTGACATTATTTACCCCACCATAAACACATACAAATATACATTACGCGCTGGTAAGCGCATACGCGCGTTAATAAATTAGTGTTCATTATAAAAATTGTACGATGCATCACTGCATTTACTCAATTTTATTTTATTTCTTTATTTTTTATTTATTTTTCATTCTTTTTCAAATCTATTTCATTTCAATACAACAATATCAATAAGAGGGCGTTGGGGGAGGGGGGAGGGGGCAGGAGGGAGTGGGAAGGAAGAGAGAGAGAGAGAGAGAGAGAGAGAGAGAGAGAAAGAGAGAGAGAGAGAGAGAAGGAGGTAGCAATAATCGATAATAATGAACGTAGAACGCGCGTATACGCTCTTCTCCATATGAATAACGTGGTTACACGCATAATAATAATATTTGATTCGTCACACAAGAGAATCGCATAACGACGTCGCCCTTCGCGTAACAACAACAATCGTAAGAAAAAATTATGTTTGTTCTTTTGTTCGTAATTTTTCTTCTCCCCCTTGTTCTTTCGTGTACACGCGTATATATTCATGTATATCTATTTGATGTATCATGTATATATATATATATATATATATATATATATATATGTATGTGTGTGTACGTGTGTGTATGTATATGTCTATGTAGCAAATAGATCTTAATAGAGCATTAATAGTAGTAATTAGCCGTTAAGGAGCAATAGCGATCGGTGACGGCGAGAATTTATTTGTCTTGTTTTGTTTTTTTTTCCTTCTTTTTTTTTCCTTTTTTCTTTTTTTTTTTCTTTTTTTTTTTCTGTTTGTTTTTTTCTTTTTTTTTTTTTTGTAACTATGCTGATATTTCTTTTTCCTTCTTACAAACATCAGCCATACAATTCGCCCCCTATCATTGATAATTTATAACAATGTGTGTGTGTGTGTGTGCATGTATGTATGTGTGTGAGTGTATTTGTTTGTTTGTTTGTTGTTCGTAAGTATTTTGCGCTTAAGTATCGTATATACAAGATATAACCAACGCGTGTTCATTAACGACGAGGCTTATTCTTGAATGAACTCTCTAGTATACGTGTCACGGTGTTTCTTTTTTTATCTACACATTGATATACACATACACCTCTTTATCTCTGTATGTGTATTATTTCTCGTAACTATGGCATATGCATAGATAATAATAAGTGTGTACAGTAATAATCTATACACACACACACACACATACATACATACATACACACATCACACATCCATACATACATACATATACACACAAATACGTATATTGTACATGTATGTATATATATATTATATATATTATATA